ACAACACACTGTACAGTGTGATCCATCTGTAATGAACAGTTTCCACATTTATTAGTTTTTGGGGTCTTTTTTTTTTTAAATAATATTTGAAAATGGCAGTGATGCTGATCTCTGGGTGTCAGCGTTTGGGTATGTGGGAAACGAGGCAGGAGCCTAAATAATACATGTTGCTTGCAGGGCTGGAAACTAGAGCCATATCCTATGGCCTTCTAATTAAAACTCTTTATTTCCACAGATTTATTCTGTGGGCCTTACTAAATAGATCAGCCTTGGGTTTCTAATGGTGACTACTTGAGGAGGAATGTCGCCTTTGTTCCCCTGAATGGTGGGGAGCAGATTACCGGGCTGCCAATTTCCTGCTGCCTTTCAGAGCTGCAATTTGAGCCCTATTTGCTCCTGGCTCTTGCACAATTGGAAACAATGGGTGGCTTCTTTCAGGTTTCACTTCAGAGCTCTTAGAAACTGGGGAAGTGGCAAAAGCCCTACTTTACAGGTAATTAACAATAGATAATGTTTGCTCTGTGTTTCCCCCCCTCTTTTTTTTTTTCTTTTTTTGAAAGCTGATAAAAGTAGAAGTACACACCGAGCCTCCCAATATAGATACTGCACGGGCAGTCTTGTGGATGCAGTCCCAGCCATAACCCCAGCAAGGTGATGGTGTGGGTCAAACCTCCAGGCAAACACATGAAAAGGCAGACCAGAAGAGCTGCTGGGTTGCCAGCAATGCTGAAGGCTGAGCAGCACAGTCTGGACAAGCTTTCAATCAGCCCAGTATGTGTGAGTGTTTGCTGGTGTGAACCTGCTCTTTGATTTAGGGCCCCTTTTTATTGTGGCCTCTATCTCCTTTATTAGGTGCACTCTTCTCATACCTTGTTGACGTTTATGTACGGTAGTTAAATGTTTTCTTGTGGATATTCCAGTCTAGGAAACCACCTGTCCTGTAAAGTTTATCTTAAATACAGAAGCTTGTTTTACCACATAAAGATGTAAGTAGCTGTTGTTTAGCCTTATCTTGTTAATGGAGAGCTGTGGATACCTACAAGGAAGAGAAAGACATGCTTCTTGCACTGTTATTAGTATTTATCTAAAAATTAATTGGGTCAGATGGAACTCCTCTAAATTGGGATGCTCAGGCTCCTTGCAGGTAAGAAATGGAGAACAGAGTAAGAGTCACCTGCCCTCAGAAGTGAATCCCATGTGCACATTGCAGGCTGTGAGGTAACGTGGTGGCAAGTTATGAAAAAAGAAATGGGGAAACTGAAAATAGAGCTTTGAACATGCTGATAGCAGAGATTTCTCTTTGGGAATGTAGAGCTAACATCTATCTGGCCTTCCTGTGTGTGTGAAGACTTCCTGAGAACTCAGGAGATTTGTGCACACACATAATGTAGTTGCTGGGTATGTAAATGCCCACTTGCATTCTGTATCTGCCGACTGACTGTATGTGTGCAGAAACTGGAGGAGAGATGGAAAAGCTCAGTCTGGTAAAACCTGCTCCAGTAAATCCTGCAATGGCAGAGGGCAGGTTTACATTAGATATTAGGAAGAAATTCTACCCTGTGAGGCCCTGGCACAGGTTGCCCAGAGAAGCTGTGGCTGCCCCATTCCTAGAAGTGTTCAAGGCCAGGTTGGATGGGTCTCAGAGCAACCTGGTCTAGTGCAAGGTGTTCCTGCCCATGGCAGGAGGTTGGAACTGGATGGTCTTTAAGGTACCTTCCAACCCAAACCATTGTGGGATTCTCAGCGAGGGCCCAGTTTGGTGGAGGGACCACTGGCCTGAGGAGTTGCTGCCTCTTTTGGTAATGCTGATGCAACTGTTTATAACAGACAGGGCACCCAGGAGAGAAGAAGGGAAGGAACTTCTTGTGCCTGACTGTGGTGGCAGGTGCCATACAGTGCCACACCTGGAGGCAGCACGTGGTCTTCAGGGCTGCCTCTCTGTGTTAAATGTGCTCTCAGGCACCGAGGCAGTCACCTGCTTTCCTTCCTTACCTCCCTGCCTGAAGACACAGCGTTGTGGGTGGTTACTGAGACTGCAGACATGGATACATGGCTATGATCCAAAAATGGGACATATCTAGCAGCACCTGAGGAAGTTCAGTCCCTGCACTCCATCCACATGCATTTTAACAAGTAAACAAGTAAAGTATTAAAAAGGAAACAAAACCAAGAAGGAATTCTGCACTTAATGCCTGTGTTTCTGAGTTTCCCATGAGGCTTGTAGAATTTCATTAGCTTTAACTGTGAACATGACTTTTGCTTCTTGTTCTCACCATCTGCTAGGCTTGGAAAAACTGTCTGACTCAATAACTTACTTCTGTTTCTCCTCCTTTCTGTTGTACCTGCCCCTCTTACTACTGTGACTTCAGTGATATCTTTTAGACTGCAAGTCTTACCATAGAAACTATCCCAGAAGGAGAAAAGGATTGCAGAGTTGCAACACTTTGGATGTACCTCTTCTCCAGAGTGGGAGCAGATGGAAGGATGCCCATGCCCTCTGTTGCTCATCTTCATCAGGAGCTCTAAAAAAGAGGAGGAAGAGATTCTGAGCAGAGGCTTAGAGCCAAGCTGTAGAACTGCCTCATTGATAGTGGTAGGTTTGTTCGGGGATTCTGATCGTTTCCTCCTTTCTGCAGTTCGTTGCAAATAGTTGAGGAATATACAGAGATATAAATGAAAAAAAAAGGTTTCCTTTCTTTAGAAAACCACAAAACATTTTAGCAGAAGTTCAATAATTTTGGCTTTTGGTATTAGTGCTCTAAATCCTGTACCCTTGTATTAGGGAAATGTGAGTTGCTATAACACTAAATGTATTTATGTGTATTTATGACATAAACTTACAATGTAGTTGTATTTGTAAACACAAGCTGCTTTGAACCACCACAGTCCACTTAAAATCCAGCCCTCTGTTCTCCATTATTCCACATTGAGGTGTTTCAAGTACCTTCCTTGGGCCTGTGCTTAGTTTCCAGGTTTCTTAGGTTCTGTTCTCCAGAGGGGAAGAAGAACTAGCCCTTGGTAACCAGTGTGCACTGCAGAGACCAGGCTGCTGTACCTCTGTGGTCTCTATGCTGTCAGAGCCCTTCCCAGGTATGTGCCCATCACCTTTCCCAGCTGTAACTGCAGCAGTACTTCCACGAGATGCCAATGTAAAGGGTCTTTCTGGCTCTTCTGTGTTTATGTACAATACAATTATATAATAAAATAATAATAAAAATGTCTCCCATGAAAGGAGCTGGGTGATAGATAACCCTTTCCTCCTCCTACGTTCTGTGGGCACAGAGATGTGTGGGGATATTTGCATATGCACTCAGCATAAGGCAAAGATTTTCCTCTCTTGCCTCTAACTCCCCCAGTGCCTTTGGGCAGACACTGCTGTTTGTCAGCCTCGCTCGTACATGATGTTCTGCTGTGGAAAATGATGCCTCTGTTATGTTTTCCAGAGGACGTAAATTTGCCAAAACAAATGATGGGCAGAGGAACACCTGACAACTCTGGTTTGATTTTACATAACCTTTACGGTATCTTCCTGCAATGCCTCCCAGATAAGGAGGTGCTGTGCCAGAAAGAGAGAATAGTTAAGACTCCTGGTGACCTCATCTGATCGCTCTCTTTTAAACAAGGCACTTGTTGATGGGTTATGAGACATGACATCAGAGTTTTCGGTTTCATGCCTGCAGCAACAATGGGAAGCATCCCACGGAGGTGAACCCCCTCGCTGGGTGGTGAGGGCAGCAGTAAGACACCACAAGTGTGAGCAACGACAGCAACAAAGCAATGGATGAGTTGGACAAGGTTGTGCGATGATACACCAGAGTCAGAAGGGAAAATGTTTTTTAAGGTTCCTTAAACTGGCTCGAGGCTTGGCTGAGACGCAAGGGTTAGGTTTCATCTCCTATTATTTAGAGATATTGCTCTTCCTGGCATTTTTGGACAAGTGGTAACATTTGTTTTTGCTTCCCCATCCTTTCCTGCTGTTGCACACCATCTCACCATGCTGTACCTCAGAGCAAGGCTGTGGGTTTTGTGCACCATAATCCGTACATCCTTCTTCTTTGGCCATCACCTTACTTTTAAAGCTGTCTGTCACAACAGGACAGCTACAGGGCATGGAATGGGCTGGAAGCTAAAGGCTGTCAGGCTCAGCCATAATTGGAGTTAAATACTTCCCCAAGTGAAGGAGCCAGACTGTACCAGGATATGGTTATAAAGGGAGCGTTTCAGGTGGCTCTGTCTGCTTTGCCCTCTTGCACTGAAAATGCAGGGATGGCCTGTAAAGCCAAGTTCAAGATGGCATTTCTTGTCTAAGGAGTCTTTGCTTCAAGTTTCTGCTGAAGCTTCTGCTCAGTCCAGGCATGGAGAGGAGATGCTACCTGGCAAAGAGAAACAGGTGAAAGCACTTAGTCATCTGCAATCATTTCCTTAACAAAAGGCCTTGGTGCTGTCAGCTGGTGCATAGCCTGGGGGGTATATTCTTATCTAGACTTAGGCAGGAAACGGTTTGATTTACAACTGGATGTAAGAAAGACTGGTGGCTTGCCTCATCGGCAAAGTACATTACTGGAATATATTTCCCTTAGGTTACAAACCTAAAGGATCCCACATCAGCAAGACAGAGCAGTGCCTGTGTGTGTTGTTGGCTAAACCAGTTAGGATACTGAGAGTATGGCAGACTAATGCACCAGGATCTGTAAATTCAGAGTAAAACGAAAAAAATCTGCTCTGAAAGCTTTTAGTAACACTCAGCTGGTGGAAAACTCATTTGTGCCTCTTGAGAGCAGCTGGGGTACTCCACAGAATTAGGAGATCCAAATTCACCACAGCTGAGGGGAGACACCCAGGACATGAGCCTTTGCTTATATATAGGGGCATTAAGCAGGCCTGTTCTTTTTGAGACAGGTTATGGTTTGTCTTGGTCTTCTTCAGGTTTGCCCTGAGACCTGCAGCCTTAAACCCAGGAGGTTATTTATTAAAGGAGAGCTGTGCTGTGTGCCTGAATCCCTTCTGGAGTCCCACTGGAGTACATGGTCTGCATTTGGTGAGTCTGTGCTAAGGATATCACATAAAAATGGTCTATAATCTGTGACCAAGCTACAGGGGTTTGGTAGAGAATTACAGTATCTGCTCTTGGCAAAGTGCTGGTTTTGGGTCAGCCAGAGAGACAAATCGAAGTTCTTACCAACTTAGTCTTTGTTGGGTGCCTAACTAGAGCTGAGCCTCCTCCAGAACAGGGGCTTTGAGTGGCTTTTGTGATACAAATGGGGCATGTTTAAAGCCTTGCAAGCCCTGTTTGTGACTGGGAATGGGAAGCTGTTTGTTTGAGGGTATTAACTGTCTGATAGCTTGGCCCTCCTCGAGGTGGCCCCAGGAGCAGGGTAGCTTGGAAATGCCACTTGCAATTAAAACCTGTATTTTTAAGTGCAGCTCTGCTGTTTGTTCATGCTGAGAAGGGTTTCCTATCTTTCAGAATCTTTTGGTCGCTGGGCTACACTTAATAGGATGAGATTTTATTTTTTTTTTCCCTTTCCCCCTTGAACCACAAAGCTGCCAAGCTATCCAAGAAAGAGGCTTGTAATTAATGCTAAGTGGAGTGGAAAGCAGGGTGGCTGCTCAGCATAGGGCATGCTCTGGCCTCAAAGAATGCTGGTGAAGCTCTGAAATAACTGTGGATCTCTAGGTTTTTAATCATGGTACGTGGGAGTAGGAACTGCCTCCACTGCAGTGAAGATGTTTGGCTCCGTTGCGACTGGAATGTGAATATTGTGCTGATGGCCATGGAAGCATCCCTTTGGGTGGATTTTTTTTTTTTTTTTTGGGCAATCCAGGAAAGGTTGGATTTGCTTCTCTTTAAAAGCTTTGTGGAAGTTCCTGTGGGTTGTGACCTTGGAGTTTGGGGCTGTGATCTTCCTGATGATAACCTTGTCATCTCCCCTTGTCTTGTCCCTAGAGGGGCTGTTCCAGGGACACATTTTCTTAGATATCCCCTCCTCCTTGCACAGAGCTTTGTTGTTCCAGTAAGTGGTTTCACTTTCTGAAGTGCTGAAAGTGGCTGTTAAAGAAGCAGTTGTCTTAACCTGAGGCTCACCTGCTTTACATTTGGTTTTGGTTTTTTTACCCCCCTCACCTTCAGCTTGTTTTCTCATTGGGTTTGATGAGCAAGTGGAATGCAGTTTCCACGTCTGATGTATGGGTTATAGACCTCACTATGAGCAACAGGACAGGGCTTTTGGCTCAACTCTAGAAGAAATAGGGAATGTGGTGGGAAAGTCCTTTGCCTGCGCTTTTCTAACACCTTCTGGTGTCCAAAAATCCTTAGAGAAAAATGTTTGTGACTGCTTAGAAACCCTTAGCTGGGTAAAAACTGAGAATAGATCAGTACTGAGTGGCAAAAAACTCATTTGACGAGCAGGAGGAGTGACACTGGGTTTTTTAACCTACTTTGTAATGGTCCATTTCAACTCCATAGTTTTCCTTGTTGTTTGTGTGTCCCAATTATGTTCTGCATTTCTATATCTGTTTGATGTCTAGACTTGTGTTGAGACTATAGTGGAACTCTACAATAGCAGAAACTCTGGTATCTTTGCACTGCCTTAACTTGCAGAGCTGTAGAGAATAAATACCACAGCTGTTGGCTTTGACCATTTGGTCAACTTGCTGTTGGGAGTGGGATTTTTTGGTCTTGTAACAAATAGGCTACAGCAGAGGACCTGCTGTGTCACGTTTCTCAGTTTTTACTCCTGCTTTGTGGGTTTTTTGTTTGTTTGTTTTTGCTTTTAAGACAAAGCCCCTCAGTTGTCAACCCATGTCTGGCTTAGAATTCCTGAGGTTTTTTTCCTTTTTGGAGGTGGGTGTATAGAGAATCAACGTATGGAATATTTTTCTCCTCCAACGTCTTCATGGATCTCTCTCTAAACTGTATGTCGGTGTTTCCCAGCTGCCTTGGTTTCTCATGCAGATGAGCCCTGCCAAACGGTTTCCTACTGCACCCTCTTAGGACAAAGGCTCAGTTGTTGTTTTCTGTTGATAAACTGGACATTTAACTGCTTCGTTTCCCCCCTACTACAGCAGAATTAGTCGGGGGCTATTTGCTCAGGCCCCAATCCCTGGGATTGCTGGGACAATCGCTCAAGAGGTTCCGATTTAGAAACCAATGAATGTCAAGCTGAGCCTCTGAACTAAACTTTCTTTGAGATGAGCCAGAGTGACCTGCAGCGAGCTGTAAAGAAGAGTGCAATGAACCCCCCCCCCCTCCCGTTCCCTTCCCCAAAGGAAAAATATTTCCCAGACCACTGGGAACCCTCCTGACTTCCTCTCCTGTGAATTCTGGATTAGTGTGATTTGCATGCTTAAAGTTAATTCACTAGTGAACGGAGGAGGTGTCTGGGCACTTGAATAGATTCAGCTCCTCGCTGCTGAGTGCCAAGGGCCTCCGGTGCAAACCACAGAGTGAGGGAAAGTGAGGACATGGAGGACAACTGCAGGGGTGAAGGGAGGGAGGAGGGATTGTACCATTTGTACTGAAGTGTTTGCAATTCTGCCCTCCCACAGGCCATGGCAACTGGACTGAATGTAATCTGGCCCTTTTATTTTCTTGCTTTCATTCAAGTGAGGCCATATAACAAGTGGAGAGCGAGAGGAAGGGGGGAAATGCATGAAGTATACATAATAAAGGTGATACTGCTGAAAACGCTGTTTGCTGTTGAAAAATGCAATCAAACTTGGTTTATTGGGAATTTGAGTGTGCTCGGTCCTTGGGAGCTTTCTCCTGAAGCCATTCTTAAAAACAAAGCAAACAAAAAAAAGCCTTGTCTGGTTATCCCCAGGCCTTGCTCCCTGATAAGAGCCATCTCTCATGACCAAATTAAAACGTGGGCTCCATCTTGCATCTTGCACTTGATAAGACACGTCCATCCGCGTGTTGGGAAAGTTCCCATTTCCAATTTTTTGGTGCCTGGGAAAAGCCTCTTTTAAATTGATGGGGGAGGAAGAAAAAAAAAAAGAAGAAAAGTTTGAATCATTGCATGGAGTCACTGGCCCCGCTGAGGGGGCTTTCTCTCTCCTCTGAAGAACAGACCACGCACAAAGCCAGATGGTTCCCGTCTGCTGGCTTTATTCAATGCACTTCCTCCCACAGACGGGAGCCCTTTTGCCCTCCTTCCACCCCCCTCTTTCAAGCATCCACCACTGGGCCTTTCTGTTCTGCGGCTGGAAATAATCTTTTATTGCCCAGTTGTTCGGAAGTGACCTTTTGCCCTTGATTAGATAGCACCAGGCTCTATCGCCGGATTGCTTTTGAGCTGGCAGTTGCTTTTTTGTGTCCGCTGATCCGGTGTCAGGGAGAACAATGCAAGGCTTTGCAAAATTTTAGTCCGGCTAAGGCTCCATGTGGGATGGCTGGGGGTAGGGAGGAACTGCGTTGGATAAAGCAGCCTCGCGGACCATGATTAATTATATGAAAACATTTCCTTTAATAAACTGCAAAACAAATCGTGCTTTGGTTTGGTTTTTATATTCATCTCGCGCACTGATGCGAACCGCTGCGTGCTCCTTTCCAAGCCGTTAGCTCCTCATTGGAGACAGGGAGCAAAACTGCTCCTTGTTTCTCTTCTATGGGATTTTTTGTGCCCAGCTGTGCAGGCAGGTGAGCTGAAATCTGCCCCAAAACCCTCCAGCTGGTGTTGAGCTGTGAAACCACTGTGTTTCACTGATGAAGTGGCCAGAGGAGTTATTTCAGGGAGATGCTCTCAGGCCCTGGTGGAAATAACTGATCCTTTTCCAAAAAGCAGTTTTGATAGCTTTAGAAACGGGGAATCTTTCCAGTTACCTGTAGACAAAAAAAAAAAAAAAAGAGGTGGTATTTATGTAAGGTTATGGAAATTCTGTAAAATGTAGTAAGGAGGAAAATAGGGTTTCTAGAGAAATTTTGACCCCCAAAACCTAGAACTGATTGTGCTTTATGCCTCCCTTGACATATCCTGTATTATTTTCTATTAAATATAAAATGTACTGCATCTATTTATGGGGGTGGGAATCTTTCCTAAGTAAACAGACCTTGAGTTTTAGCCTACAACCAAATGAAACAAACCCCAAACCTACCTTTCTCCTTCAGCTTGACCTGGACTGGCTTAGAAACAGCAGGAAAGAAGCTGGCGTCCTGTAGGTTGTTCAGTGATCCGAAAGCTAAAATTAAGGAAGTTGTTTTTTGAATTAAGTTTTCAATATGTATTCAAGACAGCTTAGTCTTTAGCAGTCTGGCAAAATAAATAAATTTTAAAAAAAGTAAATACATCTGGTTTCCAGTCCTGTAGAAGTTAAAGGAGAAAGATCACTGTTCTGCAAGGTTTTTATTCTTTGTATTTCAGTTTGAGTTTTTTAATTTATTTTTTTTATTTTTTTTTTACCCTGATGGAGCTTTTCTTTGGGATTCTATCACTACCCAGTTTTGGAAGAATTGTCTACAGGGGATAATTTGTTGGTTACCACAATCCCTTTGTTAGTAGTGGGCACTACACTGCTCCCTTGAATAGTAACCTTTAAAAAATTATGTATTAGCTCTCTTGGACTCAGTGATTCATCAGCAGCTTTTTAATTCTGTCAAGGCCACCCCTTCATCTGGTAAATAACACGAATGTCTGTGGTGTGGATTGGGCGTGTTCTGTGTCACGAAGGCAGCTTGTGAGCTCTGTTCCCTGCCTGACTGGGCTGCAGCTGCTGGAAACCTGGGCCCAGTGAGGAATGTTGCCAAGCCAAGGTGGCAGCAGGGAGCTGGGGCAGGTGCCTCCACCTGGGTCCTACCTGCTCTCAGACCAATCTGCTACAGGAGCCTGTTGGTTTCATCGTTGTTAGATGTCATAGGACTTCTCTGTGAGGAAGAGTTTGCTTATGATTCTTAATTAATTCCATGCATTTTCCCTTGCACACCCAGTTTATCCATTAAAGTGTTATTTTTAGACAGTAAGAAATACTGAAATATTTGTATAGGTTCAGTTGCACTGCTTGGAAGACTTGTCAGGGCAGCTGAGAAGCAGAGGTTGTGTCACCTGTAGCTCTCAAGGCTACAAGAACTGTTCAATTAACACAAGCTGTGTTAATTGAACCCAGATCTGTACCCATATCTTTTGGTTGTATTCAGAGTAATGACTGCTGCTCTGTCTTCTCCCCTATGCCAAAGTTATTGCTATTATAAGGAATTTACATATTTAAATATTTTAGGTTGGAAGGAACCTCAAAGCAATAGTTCCAGCCTAAATTGCTTTTATACAGTTTCTAATTTGTGCGACTTCAGGATACTTTTTTTAATGAGAATTGATGAAGAACAGCTATAGGAAAATTTCTACCAGCAAATTTATTTTAATTCTTTCCACTTGTCAAATCTCTCATGTGGGTTCAGTGATGGCAGTTACTCAGTCAGGTTTGAAAGATGTCAGTAATAGCAGAAGAGACTCCAGAGTAACTCATGACTTTTTACCAAGTGGAAAAAAACATAACCCGGTATAAGGCAAAGTAGTATATCTGTTCTCATTGTCCTGCGTAGGAACCCGCATATTTGTAACAGGGCTATTTCCACTTGCTAATATCTCTGCTGATGTTAGCCAGTAAGATGCCCACGACTGTCAGCAATGTTGTTTTCAACTTCTGTGCGTGTTTTCAGATTTTTTTCCGCAGATAGTGACACCTCTTTGCCCACTGACTACATCTTGTGGGCCACTGACTACATCTTGTGGGCTGGGCTGCAGCCCACGGCAGCTCTTACCCCGTGCCATACGCACGTCAGGGGGCTTAAGTGTATGTCAACACTTGTGGCTGTGGTGTTGTAGGACAGAGACAGGCAAGCCAGCTGAAACTTCTGCAAGCCAACCACAGCAGTGTGGGCTTTGATGTGGGCTACCTTAGCTGGCTTCTCACGTTATACTGTGATAACGTGCTCACAGAGGAAGTCATGCTCTAAAACACATCAAGTGGTCATTTCATGCCCTTAAATCAAGGGTGTTATCATCCACAGGTTTCTCTTGGACTAAAGCTTGATCTTCCCCATCCTCTTTGGGGGGTGGGGGGGTGGATTCCTTATCAAGGTTGTGAGCTCCTCCTCCTCGGTTAGAGAGGGCACCTGGGAGATTCCTTGTGCTCAGGCCAAAATTGCTCTGGCTTGGCTGCTTATCCTTGCCTTGTTCCTACGGGGTCCAAGTACATTTTCAGCTCACAACACGAGACAGGACAAGGGGGAATGGTTTTAAAATGAAAGAAGGTGGGTTTAGATTGGACGCAAGGAAGAAATTCTTCCCTATGAGGGTGGTGAGGCCCTGGCACAGGTTGCCCAGAGAAGCTGTGGATATCCCTCCCATCCCTGGAAGGGTCCAAGGCCAGGTTGGATGGGGCTTTGAGAACCCTGGTCTAGTGGAAGGTGTCCCTCCCCATGGTGGGGGTTGGGGTGGGGTGGAATGAGATGGTTTTTGAGGTCCTTCCCAACCCAAGCCATTCTGTGATTCAGTCCTGCCAGCTCTAGCCTAGAGTGGCTTTAACTGAAGCAATATACAATATGCAATTATCCTGCAGAGAGGAAAAGGGGATGGAGCTAACTGGGAAGACTGGTTTGACTTATTTAAATTCTACAGAGTTTAAATACACTTCTGCTTCCTTGATAGTTGTTTGAATTTTTTATTTTTTTTTTTTTTACTACTTACAGGAGACTGAATATTAGAGTTGGTTTTTGCTTGCTCACACTGTTTTGTCCTGAACAATCTTTGAAAGCTTTTTTCTTTTACCATATTAAATCTGCCTAAATAAATTGCCTTGGAAAATTAATGAAGCATTAAGATGCTGAAAAACTGGGTTGCATACAGGAGAAACTTTAGATACCTGAAGTCGTTTCAGGATATGTGTGCATATGATGGGAGACAGGAAATGAGTTAATTTTCTATATTCCTAACTTGTTCCTTTCTTCTCCAGCACTGTTTGCCTGGGAAAACAATGATTGCCTTTCAGTCTTTTCTTTCCTTTCAAAGAACTGGGATTTAGTCAATGGGACTATTTACATGCAAAACGTGAAGCATATGCATAAGTGCTTGCAGGACTGTGGTCTTTCATTGTCACTAAAGCATCTCTGCTTTCCGGTGGCAGATGAACTTGTCATTTTAAAAGTCGTAATAAACAAAATTGAGTCATTGCGAGCAGGTAATTAGCCTTAAGAAAAATAAACAAGCTTTAAGCACTTTAAGAAATGTTTTCCCCACCCCCTAGCTGGGGAAAATGAGGCACTGCCCTTTGAAATGATGTTACAGTGCAGGAATAAACGTATTGAAATACAACTGGTGATGACGGTAAGCGGGGTAGAATCTGCTCTTGATTGTGCTGAAAGCAAAACTTTGAATAAGACGCTGACAGCATTGGGTTTTCTTTACTCAGTTTATATTTAGGTTTGACTTATCTTCCTGCCTGTACTGGAAGACGTGCAGATACCACAGCGCTCCTCTGATGGTTTGCTGAGCAGCGTAGTCTGCTGTGTAAAACAACAACAAAAGCAGGACAACCTAAATATCCCCCCTCCCCGCCCTGCTATCGTTCCGACCGGCATTTTTAATTTGGGTAGATTAACCAAAGTACTTGTTTTCTGTCTAATTTGATGACTACAGAAGACAGCTGCGACAGGAAACTTGCTTATCAAGATATGTCGTGGAAATAGCTGTGTGAGATGATGTCACAGTGATTGTGCTCTTGTTAAGGCTCCTTGAGGTGAGAAAAGCTTTGTTGTAAAACTATTTTCCATGTAATCTTCATGTTGTGAGTACACTACTTGAATTGTGCTGGGATCTAATCCCAAAAATTCACTCTTTCGTTGGGTGTTCAGCTAGGATTTTACAGTGTGTAAATATTCAAGCCTGAGGTAGGCTACAAAAATCACTGGCTTCCCAGATGACTTCTCTCTGCCTCTATCACCTCCCACCCTCACTGCAATAACCAAAACCATTCAAAATAAAGCCCAGAGATCACTATGCTCCTTACTACGAGCGAGGACTCTATGTCCTATTCCTTGTACAGCACTGAGCACTTTGAAAACTAAACAAATAACAACCCTATCAAAATGAACCAATTTAAAATGGTAGCAAATAAAAGGAGGAATACAATCATGTGCTCCTTTGCCTGACTAATGTTTCTATGTGCTCAGCCCTTGGTGTTATTGCCTTTATGAGATTTACATAAATTAGTCATTACATTTTATCATTTTCCTTTTACATATGTATGGCTGTTAGATGCGTGTGAAAAAATGTCATGAGTATCAGAGGTCTATTTGCATTAGAATTTCCAGTGGAAATGTCAAGTATGACCTTTCTCTTGTCCGGGTGGCTAATCCCATTTGAAATTCCTGCCATGCTCCTAGGGAGGGTCACTGCGCTTGTGAATTCAAGCGCAGCACCTGCTGCAGCCTCCGCTCCTCCTCTTCCTCCCTGAGCTCAGATGACAGAGCTGGCAGCCTGCAGGGTCGGGCTGATGCTCGGCCTGGCTGCGGTTCACTGCAATCTCTACTCCCCAGTTATGGGACTAAAATGCTTTGTTATGGTTTTTTTTTTTTTTTCTCGACATGTTGTTTCTGGAGCGTCTAAAGAACATAAAGGAAAGATGCAGCAGACATTAATGGTGACTGCTTACTTTTGAAATAGAGGAATAGCGATTTGGAAATCTTAGAGCAGAAAAGTAAGACTTTTTCATATTAAAAGAAAAAAGCAAGAATAAAGTCGTGTCTGGGTCCATGATTCCTCCTGGATTATTGGATAACAGATCCACCTGTCATGATGAGTGACTTAAGTCTTCCCTTGTGGCAAATCAACCAGGAGGCTGCAAGTAGATGCAAATATATTGGCAGGACATCCAAATGTAATAAACTACCCCTGCTTTGCCACTACATTGGTCTGTTGACAATTTCTCACTATAGGAAATGCTTTTTGATATTAAGAGAAAACCTGCTCTTGGGTTAAAATGTCTATTTCTGTCACAGTGACTTTTTAATCCCCTTGTACGCTGAGAGGATTTGGAAGCAAAATTTCCTGCAGCCTACGAGAGAATAGCTTTTATAACCTTGCTTATCTCTTATTAAATTTCATTATTTTTTAGATGTTAGTTTATTTAAATATTTAGTTTGGGAAATAACCATCACAGATTAAGTTCTTGGTTCCTGTGGTCACGTGGGTATTATCAGTTTATGGCTCCTTTCTGAACCAGCCCTCAGTCAAATAATTTTCTATCAGACTGGAGCTGTATTGGCAAGAACAAGAACCACTGGTGCCTTTGTAATCAGTTCCTGACATTAGAGATAGAACGGCCAGTTCCTGGGCCTCCTTGATCTTATATAAAGTTTGATTAAAGCACAAAGCCAAGTGAGTGGGAATGCCAAACTTGCTCCTAACTCTGCTGCCAGATTGCTGCATGAGCTGTAGCAAACAACCCATTTATAATCCTTAAACTTTGCACCCACCTATGAATTGAAAAAAATACCCTGTAATGTGTGGAGGAGGCTTGGTGAATGAAGATTCTTAGGAAAAAAAAATTAACTTCACTAAATAAAATTCAATAGTAGCTTGTGCAATACTGTTGGGAACTTACCACTCCTGCAGCCTTCTCCTGCTCCTGGTTTAGACCTCCTGGCCTGGGTGGGGACCTACTCCCCGTGGGATGCTGCGAACATCCAGGGTTCACGGGGAGCCTACCTGTTCCTGTGACTCATGAACAGCTTCCCATCCGTGGTTTACACTGCACTGTAGCGTGTAAAACCACTTAAATTAGTGCATGACAGCAGGATGTTAACTCTGGATGACAAAACTGGCCACCATGCCAACTGAATTATTTCCCTTCCTCTTCAGTCTAAGAGGATCCCTTTCCCACAACGTCTGATTGAGATTGGTCCCAATCCCTTTACTGTTCCTGAAGTATAAGCGTATGTCTTACAGCAAGCGTTTTGGTGGGCGACTGGCATTCTCTTAGAGCGTAACCTTCAGTGCTTTTCCTGAGGAAGTGAGCTGTACTGACAAATGAAGCATGTTTATCTGTTGAATAGAAAAAATACAAATAAGAAATGTATTTAACTGGGAGGTGACTCAGTATGTGACAGGTGGGATGCTGGTTACATATTTTCCTTAAGGAGTGGTGAAAGATGACGGGAACAAATCTGTCATGTCCTCCCAGGGTGTGTATGTGGGCACTGTGAATCAATATATTACAAACACGGAGACCATGGGGGGTGGTTTTAAATTCAGTGCTTCTAAATCACTGGGGGCTAAAGCTGAGGTCTTTAGGCAGCCACCTGCCCTAAAGCACTTTGCTGAAACGCTCCCCGTGGGTTTCAGTGAAGTTACTTTTGGCTGATGTCTAAGCAAGTGCAGTCAAGACAGTCCACTGAGAGCAGGGCAGAGATTCCTTTGTGAAAGGTCTTGTTTCATCATGCTCCATGTGTTTATCTGAAAACAGAACGTATTCTTGAAATGACTAGTTATTGTCTACTGACATTTTCTCAGTAAAGAGCACTGCTTGCCTCCCTGGGGAGCAGCAGGGCCTGCTGCCAGTACAGCACCTGGAGGGAAGACTGTGGACATGGCAGTTCCCCTTCTGTCTTTCTAAAAGTCTGGATGTGACATAATCTGCAATGTTTACCATCAGCTAGACAGGCCAACAGACACCATAGGTGTGTGTACTGGGCAAAAACCAGCTCATTAAAACTTTAGGAAATATATATATATTTTTAATAGGAATTTTTGTATGTCACTGTTAGTTTGTCGGGCCTTTCTGTGGCTTTTTGCTACTAAGACAGAAGAGGAAGGGATCCCCCAAGGCATGAAAGCAGAACTTACCCTACATAGGCAGTAGTGGCAGTGGCTCCTGTTCCATTCTCTTCCCATTAGACTCCCTAATAACCACTCCTGGTGCCCCACATCACTCTTACAAGAGGAATCTGACATGGATGAAGGCAGTGATGATTGCTGTACTGCCACGAGCCCCTTAGCAAACTTGTCTTTTTGCTGCCTGGCCATTCCTATGAGCTCTTAGGAGTATTCCCCATGTTGGACAGATGGCTCCAGCCAACTGGGCTCACGGGAAGTGTTCTCATGTCCTCAGATCTTCCCGTAAGTCTAGCTTTTCCTTTAACACAGAGCCTGTTTCCTTATATAGGAGGTTGCACTTAGAAGTGTAACCTCCTGTGAAGATTTAGGAGCCTCTCCAGGCTGCTGTATCTCTTCCAGGCGCTGTGCTGATACAAACAGGCTGGGCTTTTGATGCTGTGGAGACCTTACAAGGTAGCGGCCAGAGCCTCTGTAATAAAACCTTTCTATTTATTAGTGGCTTTCGCAGCTTTCACACGCTACGATCCTGCTGAAAACAGCCTTTCTCCAACAACACTATTTCCAATGGCTTCACCTACTTGGGTTAAAAGTTCAAGTCAGATCAGAAATATTCTTCAGCACTGCGTTACTAACAAAAGCTTCGCGATATATCAGTTAAATGGCACAGGCATGACATGATGTGATTATACTTAAGGAAAATAGAGGACAAATAGGGTCATAAACAATTTTTATAGTACTAGGAGTGGGAACAGAGAACTTAACATTCTAAGGCATGCTATTACATTTGAGCTACGTTTCCCTCTCCTTGATTTTTTTTTTTTTTTATAATATATATAGCGTTTCTGAAGAAATAAGAGAACTAGTTATGGAGTTTGCTTTTGTGTCCAGGCTACCATCACGCTTCCTCATGCAGCTGAAAATCGATTTACCTCTACACTAGCAGAGGGGCTGAGCATCAGATATCACTGATGGCTCTGGTAACCTGCTAGGTGTGACCTGTATCAACGCAGCTTGAGTGAAATTGAGGTGCAGTCCATTGCCTTCCTGACTCACTGGGATAAACAGGAGCTAATTAATTGTCATGCTGCCTTGTGAGGTCACTCTCAACCTCGGGGAAAAAACTCCACAGTTCTGACCTCATAAAGGCTAAGTGTCAATCTGTTCATTCCACCTGCGAGATATTTCTTCATGTGTTCAGAATTTAGGTCCAAAGTTGCCCCCAACACACAATGTTTGACAAATGCTGCTTAAGTACTAGATAAAATAAATAAGTGATTGCATGACAAGTAGGGTCTTTTTTTAAAATTTCTATATTTTATGTTACTTCAAACATATGCGGTTAAGCTTATCAGATTTCTAAAAATGAACGTTCTATAAAAATCACACTGGGCCCCTCAGCTGTGTTTTCCTCTATTATTTATAGACAAATTGAAAACAAATGGTCTTCTCTTTTTCAAAAACAAAAAGCACAATGAAATGGAAACAGCTGTCAGAATGTGCTTTTCCTCCCAAAGTCGTCTGCAATACAAACTAAATGAGAGATTATTTCCTTTAATCTGAAGTGCATTGCCATTTAATGGTGGTTTCGGTGGCAATTCCAGTGGAAACTAAAGGGAAAAGTGTCAAGACTGTTGTAATGGGAGAGAGCTTAAAGCCCCCTTTCTTGGCCCTGCCACATCTTTAAAGGCTTGTGTTTTGCATGCAGAGAAAGAGATCAAGAATTCAACCTATTTAGCTTATCACAAAGAAAGGTTGAGGAGCGACTTGATTGCAGCACTTAAACACCTTTTTGGAGAGGAAATCTGTACTAAAGGACTCTGTAATTTAGCAGGATAAGTCACAAGACTGAGCTTGAAACCAGAAATCTCAGAGTACAGGCATGTATCTTTAGCAGTGACGTTTAATAACCATTATAATAAACTACCAAGCAAAGGGATAAATTCCCCAGCTCTTGATTTACGCAGCCCTACTTGGAAGCAATGCTTAAACCAAATGCAAGCTGCAGGGATGAGCAGAGAGGTAACAGCAATTAAATGGCCTCTTGTACAGCAGACTACGGGATCTTAGGTGGCACAATAGTTAAACTTCATGAATGCATGAAATAAAGTGGTTCTCTTGCTGGGCTCACCCATTCCAACAACAAAGAGCAGCCTGAATCTGCTGCAGAGATCACCTCACAGAGAGAAAAGAACCACAGAAGAGCAAAGTGTGACATCATCTTTAGAAATAACTACATAGCAATGGCAAGTGTTATATAACTCCTCACTGTATCATGAGACTACTGGAATTCTTCCGGGTTTAGATCCTGTTGGAAAAGATCCAGTCTGAGCTTTCATTTCTATCCAGATTCCAAACTCAGATATTCCAACTTGTATTAGCAAGCAAAGTCATATTTTATTTGTATAAGAAAGAAAACTGCTAATTTTTTAAGATAGTTATCTTTTATGAAATAAGTGCACAAACTTTTATAAAACAAGCATACATATAAAATCTCAGGCACCAGATGAACTAATCTGCTTGAGTTACTGGAGTGTCTATTTGCCTCCAGACAATCTTCTGTGAGCCTACTAAGAACAGTGACTGTATGTAAGTGAGCAAAAGGTAGTAAAATAGAGTTTACAATGGGAGGGGCAAGAAATCAAGATGATGAATGAATGCTTTGATAGTGTAGAATGTCATTAAATTTCTGAAAGCTGAAACAAGGGCAACAGGAAAAAAAAATCCACCCTATAACCTTTGATTTTAAACTGAAGCGTGTGTTGCTTGCAAGATGTCTCTATTTCTGAGTTTTGGAGGCTTCAGGAAGAGTTAACTGAAAGCCTTCTACTGATTCAATTGCATTTTGCATGCTTCATAGCCTCTCCTCATTACTGTGCTTCTGTTTCTCCAGTGTCCAGCTTTTCATTCCATCCCCAAGTGGCACCATGTGTAATCAATACAAGTCCAAGTAGCTCTATGAAGGTAGGTGACTGTATGAAGAACTCTGACATCCTCTTACATTGTTGTTAATTTAAAAAAAAAAAATAAATTTATTTTAGGTGGCCATTGCCTTCTTGTCCACTGCATTGTCCAAGGTTACTGTCAGGGACGAGCTTATGGCCAAAAGGAACTCTTGTTCTGATAACGTATGGCAAATCTTATTTTCCTTACAAGAAAAAGGAATCAAAATTAGAATTAGTTAGGAACTAGAATATCTTATCTAGCGAAGGTGCTTTGCCACCCCTTCTATTTAATTTTTGAATCTTGCCAGCAATACTACAGAGTTAATAGCAATGACTGAAGAAAAATATCCATTAGCACAGTGCTACTGTGTGGTATGCACTCCATAGCCATTACTTTCAGAAATCACTTAGTTTAGGGCACTTTCTTATGACTTTTCTCTCAAACACACCCTATTAACAATGCACTTTGTCTCTGACTGTATTGCAGCTGATGATAAACAGATGGATCTCAGTCACTGGATGAATATGAGAAAGCTGCTGGAGCATGGTATGGTTTGTATTCCCATCCAGCTGCCTCGGGCTTCTGTCCTCTTGAAACCCTGCTAAACAGCAAAGGCTTCTAATTAGAGTGAGGGTGAGGGTCTCTTTCTGACCATTTATCACTTTCTTAGGCAGGGCTTCCATGGATTTGCAAGAGGGAAAATGCATGATGCTGTCAAAACAGCATCTTCTTCAGAGTGACCTGAAGAAAAATGGGGTTTGTGTGAAACAAACACATAAGATTGCTATGTGGGTGGGGAAGGGAAAAGAAGTAAGAAAGATGGTGAAAATCGCTGATATCTCACATAAAACAGCTCCTGACATACTAATTGGTTTGAAATGATGCTGTGAGTCACTGGGGACACAAACCAATATCACAGGCTTCAACAGTGGACATTATGCAACACTAAGTGATGATCTCTGGATGTTTGAATTGTGGTTTGGGGTTTTTTTTTAGGGCTGTTTGCTTCCATAATAAAACTTCCTTTTGTGGCAGTAAGGTCTAATGTGCCACTCTGGGTATGAGATTTTTATCTGTGTGAAGTTGAGTGAGGTGATTGTAAGTCTACTAACATCTGTTGGAAAAAACATTTTCACGTCGCCAATGCCTCCTGAGGCTGAAATGGAGCGCTGGCACTGTGTAGGTGTGCCGGACCAGCTGCCAGCCTTAGATTTTTCTTTTTTTTTTTTATCCCAGTTCTTAGAAGATGATGACAATAGTAAAGATATTGATATCGAGATAATAGAAAATGGAGACACTGTCTGCATTTTGCTAATTCTTTGCCCACTTTCTGTCTGGAGGTCTGAGCTCATCTCATGCGGGGAGTGCCCCTCGCTGTGAGGCGAAAGCAGAGGTGATGAGGGGAAGGTGGAGATAATACAGGTTTTTCTCCCCTCATACCTCCTCTTTCAGGGCACCATAAGGGGGAGGGCGGGCGATGGTGCCAGGCATTGACTCCATTTGCATCTCAATGGCAGCTGCCCCGGTGTGTCCCCTCATGGCGCCTGCCCGGGTCAAGACTGTGAGGGGGGACAGGAAATGGCGGCGCCTCCTTCCCCCCCATTGAGCTGCCTCGCGCGCCCGCCCAGCCTGAGGTCACCCGGGGCCGGCCAGGCGGTGCTGAACCCCTCTGTGAAAATGGCTGGAATTGGGCTTCATCCAGCAGCCTTCTGCCCCAGGACTGGCTTAGGAGGCAGGCAATTCCGTGCCGCCATGAAGCGTGGAAAGCCCTGTGTGCCTGGTTGCAGCTTTGTCTCAGTGTTGCCATGAAGGTGTAGGTGTCGCGCTGTCTCCTGGGCTGAAGGGCTGAGGTGATGTGCGGAGCCTCCCTGGCTGTGCCCGTGGGGAGGATGGTGCCCCAGACTTTGCCTGTGTATTTACAGCTGTGTGATGTGTCAGAAGGCTTGGTCACCGTTTTGTGGCAAGTTAATAAGGTTTTATACCTGCCTTGAGACAGCCTCCTAAGGAGAGGAGAGAGGCTGCCTCAGGCTCCTGGAGCTTTCCCTATACTCACAAAGTTGCCCTGCTGGGCTGTTTCCGCTCCCAGCCGTGCTGATAACCCTCACCTCCCTGACAGCAAATAAACCCAAACGTTGGGACACATCCTGCAATTCCGCCTAGAACGGGGTCAGTCAACTGTCAGCGAGTGACCCATTTTTCCAGCTGCTGCCCAGCGCGTTTAGCCGAGGCAACCGGGCTTCGAGCTGTGTCCCTCCCCCAAAAAGTGTTGATGTGTGAAAAGAAAATAGGAGTTTTAGTAGTAACAATATTTGAAAACCGAAAGGAGGCTGAGGTGGGTACTAAAAAGTCACTGTAAAATCACAAGACCTAATTCTGGAATAAATGTGTGCTTCCCCAGTATTTTTGCTTGCCATAGGGACCATGACAGTTCAGAAAATTTTAGAGGGACATTTTTAAAATACTCAAGACTGATTCTAGTGGAGGGAAGTGGGGTGAGCAGCTATTTGAAATGAGGCTCTTGCAGTGTCCATGAAAATCAGATGTTTCTTCTGTTTTAGTTTTACCTCATCTGGATTGTAGATTTCCCGGAGACTTGGATACGTTTGTGCGTGAAGGACATCCATCTCAACAAAATGTGTTATTGCTGCATACAGGAAGAAGGACCTGTTGTTTCCATGTGCATTTCTTTCCCTTTCTCTTTCATATCTTATTGCTCTCTCAGACAAACCCCAGATGGTCACTTTTGCGCTGATTTTGCCAAAGTCTTCTGAGCTGTTTTTGGACGACAGGAAAACCTTAAAATATTTTTCTCACCTTGAGGTCGGTATACTTCTAACATATGGATTGGGACTGAATGTTTTCAAACACAGACTAAATAGATTGTTTATTTCTACTGAACGATTAGAAATAATCTTAAAGACCTGCTTGGAGTGTATTTTGTACATGAGTTAAAATAATTTGTAAATAGTTTTTCAAAAAATGATGCTTGTAATGTTTTAGGTGTGAGAAATATCTGTTACTATTTGATCTTTCTCCTTAGTAATGGAAAGCATTCATATCTATATAAAAAACTGATATTGATATCAATATATATATAAATTTCATACACATCTCCCAATTTGTTCCTCTTACTTGCATAACAATACTTTTACATTATGCTCTTGTGTGTTACAGTAATCTTTCCCACTTTGGGAGTAAAAAAAAAAAAATCACCTGCACATCTGTCCCCACTCTCATAATAATAAAACTTTTATGCTCCAGTGAATATTTTATCTCCAAGCACTGACACCAAAGTCCTCCGATGGGGCTGCACAGAGAGTTTAAAAGTAGGATGCCCTGTGGCAGTTAATCATAGCTAATGCAGAGCTCAGGAGGAAGGGGAAATGATTTTATGACTGTAAATGGAAAAAGGACAAATAAACAGGGCTGGGAAGAGGAGCTGCCGTGTGCAGGGGAGCCTCAGGCTTTTGGCGTGGTTGCAGGAAATGGGCTCTTTGCATCAGGAGGGGCGCCCACAAATGCACTCAGGGCTTTCAGAGATGTATTTAGGTCACTGACACTTTGAAAGCTTTATACTTTTTGAGTCTAGGGGCTGTGACAAAGGCCTGTAAACTCAGAGTGAAGGCTAGCATCCATCCGTGGCTGGCCTTATTGTATCCCCAGGAATTTCGGATCAATGAAGGATGTTAGCAATTATGTGCTGAAATAACTAAGTACAATGGGATGAGGTAAGGAAAGCAACTCAGCCTTGAATTTGAATTTCTTTTGGTTTCTGTCAGTTTGTGCCAACATCCCTCGCAAAGCGTGGTGTGTCTCTGGGACTGCCCTATATTGTTCAGTACAGGAAATTTGAGAGATGCAAGTTCAGCAGCAAATGTCAAAAGTTCCATGTGTGGATGCAATCTTTTCCCTGGTATATGGGGCAGTTTTGCTGCTGGGCTTGTGAAGATATTTTGTGGATGAGATGCTGGTTTCTCTCTTTTGGCACAAAATCTTTTATAGCAGGTGTTGTTCTGGTTTTTAAGGCTGAGAAGAAGTAGCCGTGATGTCACTTGACTTCCTTGCAAAGCTCCAACCCCCAGCGTGCTGTGAAGAAAGTCCCGTGTGCCGCCTCATGCTCTGCTTGTTCCCTGTGGTTCTTTCCGCTTGTAATTCCCAAAGGGCCAAAGCCAGGGTTGTATGCCTGACCCCCGTATCCAGGCCACTGGGCAGACTGAAGCAAGGAGGAGGAATTCCTTTGAAGTTGTGGAGCTGCTCCCCAGTAGCTGACTTGAGCCCAGTGGTGGGTGCAGTGTCCCATGGTCCTCACGCTGTCTCCCTGAAAGGGATCTGATTCCCGCTGCTCTGTGCGGCTCAACCATATCAGTTCCACTGCAGTGCAGCCTTCTCCCATTGCTGAGTAGTGGGCTGAGCCTGGCTCTGAGCTATCTCAGGATGACAGACTCTCACAGAAAACCCCATAACAAACTTCCTTTCTTAAAAGCCAAAACACACGCTAGGAGAGCCCAGAGTCTGTGACTTCCAGTTAGGGCAGTTAATCAAAACATTTGCCATGTATTGTGTGAGCTCCTTCACAGTTTGTGCATTTATCTTTTAAACATCTGCGGAACAGCATGGCTTAGATAGGTTTCTGTTACTACTCTGAGCCTTCATTGGCTTTCAAGAATGAGTGAAGAGGAGCCAGACAACATAAAGGGCAGGCAATCAAAGCTTTTGACTCTTAGATCCTCGCAGATGGGCCTCCTGATGAAATGACTAACAACTGTTGCCAGATCAGCAAGTAGCAACCACAAGGCACCTGTATTTATTTAACTTTCATTTTACCAGATAACTTGTCTTTATGCTTTGGAGTTTTAACTATGGATTATAAGTCACAAGGCTTCCTTCAGATCTCCCTAGCACAAGTGTAAAATGAGTCACTTGAGATTGGTTGGTGATAAGAGCTCTTCTACTGTACAAGCAGTAGATGCAAAGGCAGGATCAGGCCAAGGTGCAGATCATGGGTCCAGTGTCTAGTTTGTTTGAAACATCTTTATTGCCCGCCTCCGGGGTGAAGTCTTCAATGGGCACGCACTAAAGGGAGGAAAGGTTTCTAGCAGCAGCCTTTGGTTATCGTTAAAATAAATAAAAATCAGTGACCTCATTTTTCTTTTCTGAATGGCTTTGCATCTTGTGAATTCCACTGTGCAGAAGGAGACTATCTGCATCCAGGGCCCCCCAGCTCCTTCAGTTCTGCCTGGGTGAGACGCAAGGTGAGGGGCAGCTGGCTTCCCTGACCTTGCAAGCTGCCTGCCAAAACCGAGATGTTGCCAGATGCCTCAGGCTACAAACCTTGCACCTCAGAGCACCAGTTCCAGGAATGACTTGCAGGTGGTGTTGCCAGCAGCTCCACAGGAGCTTTGTTGCTCCGGCCATTATGGAAAGGAACAAAGCTGAGTAGGTGGCTGTGCCCCAGGATGACCGAGTGGTGTTGGCTTCAGTGGCTCCTGCTGTCTTGCAGCCTTTCACAGGCACTGACTCTGATTGCCCAGTCACCCTGGTGCCAATCCAGCCCTGCTGCCAGACACCTCAGTGTAGCCCTGGCATGTGAAGTCTACTGCTTGCTCATGAGCAATAATGAGGTTTACCTGTTCCCCTGCCTTCCCTGAAGGCAAATATCAAAAATGTGCCAGGCTGAATATTGGATATATATTGGATATTCTATCTGGACAGGTTAGAACACACTTTGTGGCTCTGATTGCTACTGGTTTTGGGTGCTGTGAAGGGACCCATGGTGGGTGCTCAGCTGTTCCTGGAAAGTAGTCAGCTCCTCTGTTCCTGGAGTCAGATATCTGAACAATGGCAAATGCCAAATCCGTAATTATTTCTGTATGTACCATTCTCCAGTTTTATAGCTGATGCTTTACCTGTGTGCTTTTGGTCACTAGCGGCTTTTGTTCAGCAAATAGCATCCTGCTCATATGTGTGATACAGCCTGTTGACATTGGATAAAGTCACAAAGTGAACGTGCTCAAGTGTTAAGAAGCAATGTTGCAGCACTACTATGAGACTTGGCCTATGGGTTTTAGCAACCTGTGCAGCTGTGCCTGTATTTAGGGATATGCTTTGGTGTCTAAATGAGCATACGTATTCTCTTTCTGATAGTGGAAACTAGTTAGAACATTGAGTTCTGCCAAATTCAATCATATGTTTATTTATTTTTTTTTTTTATGTCTACAACAAGATCTGATAGTTTAAAAGGCTTTCATGTGCCTCTTGCTGGGGATGGTTTTCTTTGGTCACTTCTGTCTATCTCTCTTCTGATTCCAAATATGATGAAGAGGAAATGTAGCTGATTTAAGTACTTCAAGCTAGTGAAATTAGACCAGATTGATTAAGAGCATGTGTGGCAAGCATAGCACTTGGAAGCAAACCTGCTGTTCCTCCTGAGAAATATTCTTACTGAGGGACTTAAAATTCAGATCGATCCCAAGTTTTCAGTATCAGGATTATTTAAATATTCAGCTCTGCCTTATTGCTAACTTTAGGCTATAGGGTGTGATCTGTCTTCATGTTAAGTAAAGCTTTCTTTTGCAAGGAATTTTGCAGAAAGAAGTGAAATTGAGTAGAGCCGGGGGAAGCTG